CCTAGGAATATTTTACAAATCACCAAATATTCAGAATGTTTGCAGTCTAATTTTTTTCTCTGCATGCAGCCTTTTAGTATTGTGTACCTGGCCCATTACAGTTAGCTGAAGTCTCTGGTTGATGCGGCTGAGGCTCCTTGGTGGTAGGTACGGCTGGTGGGACATGGGTCTGGTGCAACCCACGTGGCTCAGCCATCTCAGATGCTGCTTCTCCAGAAGCTACCAGATATGGAGACCTCAGCTGTCCTTGTCCATTTCCAGCACACCATGTGCAGAAGCTGTTCGTATGCAGATTAGAGTATTTCTTCTCCTCTTTGCTCTCAGTCCCCAAAACATTTTCCATGGTACATAAGAAAATCATCCTTAGGGGTTGTTGGAAATAATTCCTCTCATTTGAAGACAATTACAAGTGTGTCAAATCCTTATCCTTCAAAAGACTACAGCCCAATTGGTACATAAGGGGCTCCTTATGGTGTTATGAAAGTAGTCTTCCCTGTGGGAGCCAATGATGGAGTTTTCATCCCTAACAGATCCTGTATTTAGAAACTAAGTACAACTCTTGGAAGAAAGCCCAAGGAGAGAAAATATTTTTAAAACCCTTCTGATGAGTTGGAATATATTTTTGCCCATATACCTTGGGGACATGGTGAGCACATACAAATACATAAATCTATATAAAGCGAAAAAGTGCCTACAGATTTGACCTCTACCAATAATAATTGGGAAGCAGGATTTTCATAAGCATCTGAAGCTGTGGTTTTGCAGTCCACTGCTGGATCTGGGTATTACCAAGGCATCTAGTGGTACAAATTTGGTCTGAATCAGGCAAACACACATTACTATTCTTATGAAATTAAGCTGTACCGGAGAATATGACAGCATTTAATATTACCTTACACTTTTATGGTGGTTTTACAATGCCTTTAGTATGGTCAGACAATATTTAGCCTGGCAGAAAGCTTGCTGTCACTTTAAGGTTTAACCTTTCAACATTTTAAAACATACTTTGAAGTGGGCATGAGTTTACATCAGCTTAGTGCTCCTTTCCTCATGATCATGAACCCTAATGATTGCCAACATCAGATCTACTGTACTGTTGACCCATGGACTCAGTGGGAACAGGTATTCAAAATCAATGAGGCAGGTTCGAAAAATCCACTCTGCACATACGTGTTTTGGGTTGTTTTTTTTTTTGTAGTTGTCACAGCAATAATCTCTGTCAGGGTCTGATCTCACGAAGGGAACCCATTCTGTAGGCTGTCATCCCTGCATGGGGTATTCAAGTCGGTGGAAAACAATTCCCCATGTAGGGTGAGCATCAGTCTGATCCCAAACTCTTAATCCTACACTTCTCATTGAAGACAACTGGAGCTAAGCAGGGAAACATGCCTTAGAGCTCTGTTCAGCACTTCAGTCAGGGGCCTGGCTGAAGAGAGACCAGCTGATGGTGGTGTGAGGGGCACATAGCTGGAACTGGCCAGGTAAAATCTCACCGCTGATGGTTTTTTCTTTTTCATAGCTTTGTTTCTTGATTTTGTCCTTTTGCAGGGGCTCAGATAGATGACAATAACCCACGCCGTACTGGCCACCGCATCGTGGCACCTCCTGGTGGTCGCTCCAATATTACCAGTCTTGGCTGAAAAAGTGACGACGGACAGAAACACGAGGATGAAGGATCACGGGAATAATGTCTGTTCCCCTCAGTATCTGTGTTATCGAACCCACAGTTTTATTTGGTACTAATGGAAATAAAAAACGAAATGTCTTTCTTTTTTTTTTTGTATAGGAAGAGGTGATAATAGTGTGGTGTGTTTGCTTGGAACTACTTGCCTCACAATTGTGCTTTCATGCCATAGTCACCTTAAAGCATGGTGCTTCCATTGCCCCTTTAGTGACTACAGGTTTTAGCTTTGTCTTGTAACTGAATGATGGTTCCTTTGCACCCTTTCGCTGTATTAGAGTAGTTAATGCATGTTACTGAGTTATTTATGCAAGTTGCATTCTGTGAGTGAGTCCCTTTAGAACACGTTGCCAACAATTGACTAGACACAATGCCAAGATTAATGCCCGTATTTGAGAAACACCGCCAAAAACACTTATGAAGGAAGAAAATGGCCATCTTGAAAGTATGCAGTAGAGTAGTATAGGCAGCTTCTGTTTCATCTTTAATTTATTATAAACCCAAGAAGTACTTCTCTCAGACACAGAAAATCACTGGGACATGTAATGACAAATGGTCTCTGTAGCACCTGTCTGTTCCCACTCATTACGTTCCAAGTCTGTGTCCTTCTTGTTTCCATTTTAGACAGAGCCATAATTTATACATACCAATGCCATTGCCACCCCTGCAGGGATTTCTCCATCTGGGCAGTAGTGCTCTCCTTCTGCATGAGATTTTTGGTACTTACAGATAATCCAAGTTGCCGTCGGATTTTTAAAGTTTTTTGTACAAAGTTTTTCCTTTGTAATCACACGCATTTTTACTTACTCTACCGTATCAAGATCTACTAGTCGTGGTTCAGTTTCTGAATTCAAAGCTTGTGAAATAAAGGAAATTAATTGATGGGTAAGCGTCTTCCTCTGCTTTCCAGTGCTGTTGCTCAATGATTGAAAATTTAGAATGAAGAAACCCCGGAAAAACTATCTGTTAGGTTGATATCATGTGCAAGAAGGAACCTCCTTAGATCACAAGGTGTGTTAAATGTAGAGATGCCTGCACATGCATACTATAGCGTGCCATAATCTGTCTAAAACAGAGCACACAGTAAAAATATACTTACTATTTACACTGCAGCTGCCTCAGTTTTACCAAATGAGCACTGAATTATCTTTCTCCCAAGAGCTCCAAGACTGCATCGGATTTGCTTCAAGTGGTAATTGATTGCCATCATCTTCACCTGCAGTACAGAACCACTGTCCAGCAGTGCTCCAGTTTGACCTAAGCTCTATGAGTACTGGTTTTCTCTCCTTGCTGAACTGGGACAGTTTTAGGCATGGTATGAACAAGACATGCTGCAGGTAAGGTGAGGAAAGTGGGCTTGAATTCTAAGAGTGAAGGAAATGCTTTCTCTCACAAACTATGTAAAGAAACCTTTCCTGTCCCTTGTTATCTGTATGATTGTGTTGCTGATGTTATGGGAGGCATGGGCTACAGTAGAGGGTGGGGTGCTATGAAATTAAGCAGGTCAGTGAAACACCTCCCCTTGGCCTTCTATCCCTTTGCCCTTGTCTACACTTTTCCTTGCAGCAGGAAAGGTCTTGTAGCAGCGTGGTGCCAGTTATACCTAGCTGGGATGCTTGACCACTTTGCACTGGTCCATCCTTTCTATGCAGCAATAAATTGCATTTGCACAAGGCATGTCATGCACGCGGGACATAAATTTTTGGAAAGTAGCCCACCTGAAGCCTGTCATCTTATTCTGAAGCCAGTATCCTATCACCTCCAGCTTGCCTGAGAAAGAAACTGTTATGCTGAAAAACTCTATTGCAGTCAGCTTGGTCTGAAAATCTGGCAGCAGAGCTGGTCTGAATAGCCAGCTTCTGGTTTTGCTTTGGCTTTGAACTGAACCAGTGAAGAAACACTCCAATTCAGCCTGAAATGAACTGAACTGAATTGATTTCTCCCAAAATAAAGGAAAAATAAAGCTTTTCACGAACAACTCCTTCTGCTAAGGATTCAAATTTGTGTTTCCTATTGCCTGGTGAGAGCTCTCATCCCTAGGCTTGAGTTTTTTTATATGAAGTAAAGTAATGCTGGCAGAGAAGCCTGAGGACAACTTGCCCTGGAATAACACAGCCTAGCAGGTAAGGCAATCTCGAGACAAAGTCTCCATCTCCACTGTCCCATTCCAGTCCATTTGCTGTGAGTGCTGGCAAAACTAGCAACAGTTTTGGTAATCTAACCCTGAAAATAGAAATGAAGCTGGCTTGTGAAACTGCAGCAAATGTGACAGTGTGAAAAATTTGGAAGTGCTGGTTAAAATTTCCTTGGTGATTTTCTTGTCTGTGTTAATGCAAGTAGCAATGGTTGCTCACTTCAGAGTAAAACTTCTATTCGATATATGAGGTTTGTTACGTGTAAAGTGACAGAAATTATCATTGTGTAACTACTACTGACAGATTCCACTTTTCTTACATGCTAAACAACATCCTAAACCAAAGAACCCTTTGCCTACAAGCTAGTCAAGATCCACTGTTGTTAACATTCATTTAGTTTTACATGGTGAAGTTTTTGTGAACAAATACATGTATGGGTGTTTGCGAGGCACTTCATGGTTCAGTGCTTCTGTGCGAACAAGACTCTGCTTGTCAGGTCAATGTAACTCTCCTATGATTTTTCCAAGGAGAAATACACTAGCGTGCCTATGATGTTCATAAGCCCCTGCAGCCTGACTGCTGCTGCCGTGCCGCTGCTGCGGGACAGCCTGCAGGAAGCCTATGGATCCTGTGCTGTGCATGGGTCCCTCCACTCTGGACAAGCAGTACTACCTGGATGTGATTTAAACAGATTATTTTTAGAGCACTGGTATCTTACTGCATGGTCACCAGGTGAGGTGAAGGATGCCTCACTTCATGGTCACTGTGATACACCACCAGAGAAGGCACATGCTGTACTCACAGAGGGTTTAAACGAAGCCAGGTAAGTGGTGCTTCTCTGGAGGCTTATTCCACAGCGATGTCTCTGCCCCTACATTGCTAACCTTTCTTTAAAAAAATTAACCAGTAACAGTAAATAAAATGTGGATTAGCTGATGATCCTGAATACATCTGCAGAGTGGGTAATGTTACGTCAATTTGCTGCCTTGTAGAAGCATCAAGGTGGGAGATGTTAAATTTGTGAGCTTGTGGGTAGAGAGCTGTTGTTAGACTACAAGAAAGCAGTGCAAAGTCTTCATGGTTTTTGAATCATCAAGTTTCTAAAAATTTGTAGCAAGGCTATGACTTTTTAATACCTGATATAGTCCTAATGATGTAAAAGTGGCTCTTACCTATTGACATTTGCAGGTCCCTTAAAATTAGTCCCCATGACCAGTCGGAGGACTGTCTTTGTCAATCAAGGGATGTAGAAGATTTCGGAGTGATAGTTTAGACCAGTCTGTCTTGTGTTGCAGTTTGACTGCTACCAGAGCAATGCAGTTCCATGTTTGAATTCTAGTGTTTATAGCAAAGCCTGTTAATTATGATGCCAAGACTGACGGCTGTCCCAGCTGCTAAATGTTTCTCTTAGCAATACACTGATCTTCATCCTTAAGAACAAAAAATGCAGAGTGGACCAGGTCAGATGACCATGTACTCTGTCTTCCAGTAACCAACATAAGCTTACAGGAGACTAGAGGAAAAGAGCAAACATAATGTTAAAACTCCTGTTTCCCTCATTTCCAGTGCCTTGTAACTTCTTCAGAATTACCAGCATCTTTGTAGCTGTCAGTGGATTTTTCTTGCCGTGAATTTATTTGCCAAGGCACTTCTAAACCCTTGTAGAATATTGGCATTTATGGCTTCCTGGAGCAAGGAGTTGCACAGCTTAACCATCACTGTCAAGCTAATCTACTTGACACCAGCTAATTCTTGCCATGTAGACTTGGCCAGTATGAAATCTCAGTCTCATCTGAACTTTGAACAAGCCTTGCAGGTATGTTTCTGTGATAGTAGTGAGGGCCATTCAATTAAAAATAAATTGTGTAGAAGAGTCTTATAATACAGTAAAAATGCAGAGTTTGAGATACTATTTCTTTGAGTATCATATAACTCATAAAGTATTTGCAGTGATACGGGTCAAGTCTCAATACGTCACCTCTGCTTCTCCACACCCAGCCATCTGCATATTCTGTAATTTTTCTAGCACAGTGAGATGTACATGTGAAGCTATCTTTAAATGTATAGTCATATATAGTCACACATGCTTTAAAAAGCTTTTAAGCTTAGCAGCTTCTGCCTCACAACTGAAAATAAGCCAACCTGCAAGAACATCAGTGACTGCCCTGCTCAAGGCTTCAGCTGGCAGGGCCCAGACCCTTGCGCCCTACCCTCATGCTCTGCAGCACACCAGTGAGGATGCTGGGACCAGGAGCCCTCCCAGTGCAGATGCAGCTCCCAGACAACACAAGGCAGGCTGGGAAGCTGCACACTAAAGCCCTTCATAGTCTCTGCTGGACACATGGAAGTTGCATTTGCTCAGATGGGAGGAACAGGACCTTTTTCGGTTGTACATAAGGACCTCTGAATGTCAGAATGGCTCCCAAAGACTGCTGTAGGTGCCACGATGTTGTGAGTGAAGGTGCTAACCTGGTGCTTGCCCTGGCATTGGGTTGCAGTGTGCACAGGCTGGATCCAAGGACCTTTATGTGTGATATATACTTAGGAATGCTTTTTTTGTGTCAGGAATGAAACTGCCCATATTGCACAGGAGCTGGCACCAGCCTGAAGGTTCCAAGTACAAGTCTTTTAATTTGCACAACTCTTCAGTGTGGTCCAGGCTGTCTTTCAGCAAGACTTCTGCATGACAAGGCTTTCCACATTTTTCTACAGCAGAGAGAACATTGAGGTGGGCTGTTTTGATTCTTTCATCATAAAAAAACCACTCAACAACTCTTAACACCATGCGTAGACTTTGAGCTACACCCTTGTCATAATACTGTGAATGAGGTTGAACACAATCATAAACTATTGCGATAGCTGTTGCCCTTGATGTAAAAAAAAAACAAAACAAAACAAAAAGGCATTTTTTCCCTAAATTTCTGCAGTGTTTTTGATATGTACCTGTAAAGCATGATCAAAGCTTCCTGTGAGCCTCTCCTGAATAAACTAAAGAGAGTGCTTTATAGATCTACATTATAAAGAGAGTACTTTGAGCTCTGATTGGCACCTAGATATCTCAATTTTCTCCTGCATCTACTATTCTGGAGACTGCTCTCAGCTGGCAAAACTGCTTAGCAGTTGATCTCCCAGGGACTCTCTAGGCACAATCCCTGGCTTGCAAGCAATTTCTAACATCCCTTAAAACACAGGGAAGGTACAAGGGTGGTGGTAGTCGAGGAGACAACACACATACACCGAACACTTCAGTAACAGATCAGTAGGAAGGAATATTAGCATAATGGACAGATTTAGGTTGGAAGAGGTCTCACCTTGAGTCTGTACTCAAAGCAGGGCTAACTTCAAAGTTAGGTTGATCAGGACTTTGTGCAGGTGAGTACTGAAACTCTCCAAGGATGGATATTCTGCATCCTCTCTGAATTACCTGCTCCAGCAATATATCCATTTCATGGCAAGAATATTTGCTTCCTGATGAGTAATTGGCACTTCCATGCTGAAACTTGTGACTATTGGAATGAGTTGTGCCCATTCAGCTGGTGATAAAGTATTTCACAGCATCATGAAAAAAAATTCTCCCTCTCAGTACTGTTCTGTGGTGGCTTTGAAATAAACAGTCACATGGATTTAAACTGAATTGAGGAGCCAGAGGTAGGAAAAAAAACCCCACAAACCACACTGTAATGACTGTGACAGGAGATGGGAGGGAAATCTTCACTATCAGGATGCAGAAACAGTTACTATGATTAAAAGAGCATAACAACATTTTGAACAGTGCTTAACTGAAGAGGAACTGTTGTGAGCTTAGCTTGGCCTCTGCTACACTTGTTTCTTGGTCTAATAATACTCTTGTTCAGTATCTCCATTACTGACAGGAAGTGATGCTAAATAAGTGCCATGGCATGCACAAAATCTGAACAGGACTTCAGAGGACAGCGAATCCATGGGATAACTCAAGGAGACCAAAAAGATGGTGACAAGGGCAAGAGCAGTGGGTATTTTACAGGAAGTTAATGTGACTTTGTGTGAGAAGAAATGCCTGTTTGTAGAAACTCCAGTGCAGGGATGTTGGGCAGCCAGAGCAGCCACAGCATCGGGCAGGGCAGTGGGAACTGGTGGGTGTCCCAGAGAGCTGGCACCCTCCCGGGCTCCTTTCTGTGCTCCCTGCTCGACATCTTCATCAGCAAGGGGATGGAAAACCCTGCTAACTGCCCGGGAGAGGGCACTGCTGCCCTGGTTTTGGGATATGCTGAACCTTTCCACGTCTCCTAAGGGAGAGAAAAAGCCAGTTCAGTCCTGCCTAGTCAAAGGAGTCAGAGTGCATCCGGAGAGACCCCAGTCAGGCAATATTAGAGACCCTGTGCTGGTAATTAGAGACCCTGCTCAGGTGATCAGAGACCCTGCTTGGATGATTACACTTCATCCTAACTGTAATGGGGGCTGCTGCTGCACTGCATGGTTTAAAACATCATCAACTCTAATAGTAAAAGCTCCCTTCTTGCTATCTCTACAGAGTGCACTGCAGAATTAAGATGGTCAGAGGTAAATTGGCTGCATTCCTTTAAAAAAAAAAGGCCAACAAGCAGCAACTGAAATGTGGACTGTAGAGGCCAATTGCTGAAGTATCAGAATCAAAAGCTTGAAGTGCTACAATTAAGAAAAAAAAAAGTATTTTTACAATGATTGAGGTGAAAATCAGCTCTTTAACAACTGTGCATAACATGCCTGGCAAAGTCACTTTTATCTGAGGTAACTGCATAACTGATGCAATATTTTCTATCATATGCTAAAGGACAGCCTTTTAGTTAGCAAAATGTATGTTCATTTAAAAAAAGACAGAAAATTTTCATTTCATGAAAGCTGTAAGATTGCTTAAATGGTGAAATTTATGACACAGTACAGGTGCTCTGTACAGCCAGTAAGAACCAGCTGCTTGGCATAACAAGAAGAATTCCCATAAGAAACATAATAAGCATAGCAAAGTACGTTGGAAACAAAAGAGTGTATTTAAGGAAGACCAGTATAAAAAAAATGTATAAAAACCTGAAACAGTAAACCAGTTTTGCCTCATTCTTCCTAAAAATAACAGTTCCAAATCTGAGACAAATGCAGAGAAATACATTTACAAAAATCTTTGTACAAATTTAAAAAAAGCATACATAGTCTTGGAAGCACGAAAATATAACAAAAGAGAGACCAAATGTAATCTTTTGATGTACCAATACCATCTGAAGTCTGTTTACATATTCTTTAAATTTCTATCTATTTTTGTTAGTCCAAAGCTGGAATCACAAATATTCAGAAATAATCTACCACATTTAGGGTTCAAAAGCAAATGGTACGTCACTACTGTAATGAAACCTTACTGAGAAACACTGACCTGGGCAACCAGCCTAGTGTCAATCTGTTCTCCTACAAGTGTGTTTTCCTCAGGTATATTCCTAATCTAAAAACTATCTCCTCTCCACGTTTCTCACGCAATCTAGAAGAGCTTACATTAAAGACTTCCTTGTTCCCCCTTACCAAAACCAAGTGGGAATGTTTTATTAAGAGCTAAAGGAAGTTGAGATTGATTCTTGGTCTGTGTCTAAAGAAGATTTCTCAGTTATTATTGATGTTCTTCATTGTTCCTCAGTAAAGCAGCTCAGTAAGTATTCATAGCTGCTGAGATTCCCCAGAAGTCTGCTTTGGTACTCTGTGTTCAGACAGCTCATATAAATGCTTTTACTACCTGTTGCCTCTTTTTTTTGGCATCTTTGAGCTTTTCCTTGGTTCAGTCTCCCCTTCATGTGGGCTCTGTAACTTCTCTCTGAAAGAAATAAACAAGGAAAATAAAATTGTAGATAAAGTTTTTCAAATGTTACAGTTGTCTCCTAAATAAAATTAATTTTGATAAGAGAAGAAAGGCACTTGCTATATAACTTCTGCACTTGCTGGTTTCAGCTGCCTCTGTTGAGGCTGCCAAAACAAAGTTGCATAAAGATAAACATTCCTTTGTTGG